CGGATTGAGCTGTAAACCATGAGTTCAAGGAAACAATACTAAAACAGATTTGTTCAACATCACCAAAAACAAACATAAACCATGAGTTCAAAGAGCTACGAAACAAATACCAAAGCAGAATATGCGGTTGCGTCAATCACGACAATGGATTTGATGGTTATCTTGAACAAAGTCATGGACCATCAAATCATGAACTATGACTTTGTTCAACGTAACCATCAAATCCATCGTCGTGATTGACGCAACCGCAGATTCTCCTTTGATATTGTTACGTAGCTCCTTGAACTCATGGTTAATGTTTGTGGGCTAAACCAATGTCAGCAATATCGATCATCACCCTATCTATTTGAAAACCATAGTGCAATGAAATGATTTATATATGAAAAAGGATCAATTATTAAAATTGAACGAATGAAGAACTTAAATCTCTATGGTTCTGTTTTCTCAAGGATTAATATACTTGTAATACTTAAAAAAAAAAAGCCTAATGATCACTTGTTATTTTAAACACATAAAATGTGGAGTGAAAGATTGATACTAAAACAGTAACGTACTGATTATATAGACACGTAATCATATTATTATGTATTAATATAAAGTTTTACATTTCATAATGAATGTAACCGTCTTTGCGTCCTTATTCTTTCTTCACTGGCAGTACGCTTCTCTGTTTCTCCATGCTACGAGTCAGTAAGTGATACGTCCTCTTCACTCTGATCTCATTCTTTTATCTATCTACCCCACTAATTCCGATGACCTTCACCGGTAATAATGATCGCACCGCCGCTTCTTCCTCTTCGTCTCCGGCGATTCCGGTCAAGGTCATTCCTCTCCAACATCCCGATTCTGATCCTCGTCGTCCTTCCATTCCCTTACATCGTTTCTTCTCCCGATGGACGGCGAAGATCAAGCGTATGACTGTCTTCGACTGGTTGGATACGATTTTTCCTTGCTTCCTTTGGATTCGGACTTACCGGTGGCGACAATATTTTAAGCTCGATCTCATGGCTGGCATCACCGTTGGCGTTATGCTTGTTCCCCAGGTGATTCTCCGTTTCTTCATTTCCGATTGATTTTCTTCTCTTCTGATTCATATAACAACTTCTGTTTTGAGCAGGCAATGTCATATGCAAAGTTAGCTGGGCTTCAACCAATATACGGTCTATGTGAGTTTCATTGTGATACATCAATGTGATGTTTCCACTTTTGCATTTACTTATTAATCTTCTTTGGTTGCTTCCAAATTATGACCGTTGTTGCAGACTCCTCATTTGTGCCGGTATTTGTGTATGCCGTATTCGGCTCATCCCGCCAGCTTGCAGTTGGACCTGTAGCATTGGTTTCTCTTCTTGTTTCCAATGCTTTGAGTGGAATTGTTGATCCATCTGAAGAGCTATACACTGAGCTTGCTATTTTGTTGGCATTTCTGGTTGGAATATTTGAGTGCATCATGGGGATTTTAAGGTAGATTATCTTTACTGCTACTCTTTTAGCTTTACTTGTGCTACCATGTCCTGTATTAATTGCAGTGTTAGAACAAGTCGTTTGTTTGTGTTTCCAACCCAGGCTTGGATGGCTTATTCGTTTCATAAGTCACTCAGTCATTTCTGGATTTACAACTGCTTCAGCCATAGTGATTGGATTATCCCAGTTGAAGTACTTCCTGGGGTATAACGTTTCCCGGAGCAGCAAGATTGTGCCACTGGTTGAGAGTATAATAGCTGGAGCTGATCAGGTGAAACTTTGTTTTTTTCGGATGAAGCTGACATTAAAATACTCTACTCTTTTGCCAAGGTCCTTTCCTTTTGTGGTTGCAATTGACCTCTTATGCCTACTTTGTATAACTTCTTCTTGTTTCTGTTTTGCAGTTTAAGTGGCCACCTTTCTTGTTGGGATCTAACATTCTGGTGATCCTCCTCGTAATGAAGCATGTGGTATGGACCTTGTTCTTTCCTATGTTAGCAGGATAGTTCGTGCTTTTCCTTTCTTTTATTATACTAAGGCATGATCTTCCATGGCAGGGAAAAGCAAACAAGGAACTTCAGTTCATTCGAGCAGCAGGGCCGCTCACAGGGCTTGTTCTTGGTACAACCATAGCAAAAGTGTTCCATCCACCTTCCATCTCACTGGTCAGATTGCTACCGAACCAACTTTTCTAATATAATTCCTCATTAAAGCCACATAGTGTTTCAAGTGTTTGCAGTAATTGCAAAGTTTTTAGGATTTCTCAGGTGGGAGATATTCCTCAGGGCCTTCCAAAGTTTTCTTTCCCCAAAAGTTTTGATCATACACAATTATTGCTTCCAACGGCGGCTCTCATTACTGGTGTGGCCATCTTGGTGAGACATAATCGTCATTGACTTTCTCTAAGTGAACATAGGCGAAGTGCAGCTGAACCTAATCATGAAAATTTGTAAAGTGATGGATATGGCCAGATATAGAGTTATCTCACATCTTGATAAGCAGAAGAGAGTTTCTTGATTAGGTTCAGCTGCAGTTTGTGCATGTTTTGCTGTTTACTGATGTGCTAGTTTGACTTTACTATCCAGGAATCTGTAGGTATTGCCAAAGCACTAGCAGCAAAAAACAGATACGAGTTGGATTCAAATTCAGAGGTAATTACCCTCTAGAATAAAGAAAACCAAGTGCTATCCCTACTGTTTCCTTAAAATGTTGTACGTGGTTCTTTTGATCTAACCTGCCAATGGTCGCTGAGAGTTCCAATTGTTTCTCGCGTAACTTGACAGTTGTTTGGTCTTGGTGTTGCAAATATATTTGGCTCATTGTTTTCTGCATATCCGACTACAGGTACGTTATCTTGACTCTTGAGATGAGTAAGGCCATATAAACCAGTGAGAATGTGTAATTTGTGTTTTCGATGATAGACTAAAAACGGGTGATAATTCTGACTTCTAAGTTATACTCTCAATTTGGCGAATCTACTAATTCCTTGAATGTATCATATAGGATCCTTTTCTAGGTCAGCGGTGAATAGCGAAAGTGAAGCTAAGACTGGTCTATCAGGCCTTGTAACAGGCATCATCATTGGATGTGCTCTACTGTTCTTGACCCCAGTGTTTAAATATATACCACAGGTAGGACTGTGTTGAATATTTCTACTTCCACGGTCTTGTGCTCTTTTCGATTTCACGTGAGTTCCTTATAAATCCGAAAGACTTGGATAATTCTGAAGCTGAAATCTGACTTCTAACACCACTCTGCTTGTCAAATTCACAGTGTGCTTTAGCAGCAATAGTGATCTCGGCTGTTATTGGCTTAGTAAGTTCAAATCAACCCACCAGAAAAGAATCTGGGATGTGTACAATATTCACCTTTACTCTTTCTTGATGTCTACCATTTTAGGTGGACTATGAAGGGGCTATCTTCCTGTGGCGTGTAGACAAGAGAGATTTTACTCTTTGGACCATCACTAGCACCACCACTTTGTTCTTTGGAATAGAGATCGGAGTCCTCATTGGTGTGAGTATATTTAGATTCACTTAGCTATATCTCTGCAGCTGATTATATATCTCTTTGTTAATAAAAGGAGTAACGATCTTAAGAGGTAGGATAATCTATACTGTGCAATGAGGTAAGGACTCACAAAGTTGCAATGCTTGGAATTTTAGGTTGGTGTTTCACTTGCATTTGTTATACACGAGTCTGCAAACCCTCATATTGGTAAGATGAGTTCCTGTTTTTGCCTGTTTTTGTTTCTTGTGATGGTTTTAAAAAAAAAAAACTCATCTTCTTGATCACATTCCAAATACATATGCTTGGCAGCTGTCTTGGGGCGTCTTCCAGGAACCACTGTGTACAGAAACATGAAGCAGTATCCAGAGGCATACACTTACAACGGGATTGTGATTGTTCGAATCGATGCTCCCATATATTTTGCCAACATAAGTTACATCAAGGACAGGTGAAAATGACATTTGGTTCCGACCTGCCTTGTGTAATGATCCACAGAAAGAATTAACACAACCGTGTTTCCAAATCGCAGGCTAAGAGAATATGAAGTAGCTATCGACAAACACACAAACAAGGGACCGGCGTTGGATAGGATCTATTTTCTTATCCTGGAAATGTCTCGTAAGTCCAATGTTTCTCATTCCGGTTTGGAACCTTACACATAGTTACTTGATGGATAATGGGAGTTATGAATAATTTGGATGTAACACGCAGCTGTCACCTACATAGACTCAAGCGCCGTAGAAGCCTTGAAGGAATTGTACGAGGAGTATAAAACAAGGGACATTCAGGTGAAAACCTGAT